TGGCGCCTCTGGACGGTGCGCTTTCCACGCATTGCCGCGCCGCTTCCCGCTTTCCTGGCAGAAAGAAGCGCTTTGTTTTCCCGAAAGTTAATCGCGGCGACCGGCGGGCCTCGCTCAGCCTTCCCGACGTCGCGTATCAGTCATCATCTCCGCCGATACGACGGGACGGGACGAGCCTAGGAGACTCGGCGACTCGACGACATCGCGATGACGATGACGCCGCGCCGAGGCATTCGGGGGAGGGCAATAACCAAGGTGAAATACGGCCGCGGGAAACGAACGGGACGGCGTCCGAGGCGAGGGGCGCGGCGGCAAGGCGGCGGCACGGCGGCGCGCACGCAGCCCGGGGAGGGGAGGGGGAGGGCGCGACTCCAGGGCAGCCATTTAGAAATGCAGATTCGGGTATAAAGCACGGGCGGGCAGGGCCTCCGCGACGCGAAGGCGGCCTGGGGAAGCCTGGGGACGCGAGATGCGTCGCGTCGATAGCGCGTCGTCGTTGTCAAACCCCCATAATTCACGCAACCGGATAACCGGATCGGAAAGCAGGGCCGGGGACGTCCGCGGGCACGCCGGCACGCCACCGTAAGGACGAGGACGAAGATAGACCGCGAGGGGCAGCACGGGCAGCACCACCCCCGCCCCGCGGGCCAGGCCGCGGCGGCAGCGTGGAGGTGACCAGCGCCATGAATGCGGCCGTCGCCGGCATGGTGGCCGCGGGACCGCGGCGGGCCAATAGCACGTCATCCGGGCCACGGCGGCCACGCGGCAGCCACGCGGCGGCCACGGCGCGCGCCTCGCGGGTCACAGACCTGCCCTGCCGAGCGGCCATATCCCCAGACGGCTGTCGGGAAAAAGTAACCGAGTGCAGCGCAAATAATGTTAAAGTTTGAGGTGGCTACGCCAGGGCTTCGCCGCGCTCAGGCGGAGGGCGGAGGGCGAACCTTATCAGTCCGACCAATCGCGCCGCGGCGTCACGAAGACCCACGACGGGGCGCGCGGCCGCGGCCCGCCAATGGCGGCCACCGGCAGCGACACCAGGGGCAGCAGGGCCAGGCAGCCTGGCGAGTAGGAGCAGGCCCTCCTAACGGACGGCTACTCGCCGACCGACCGATTCCTGACAATGATTTTCGCGTTACTCTGTCTCTCTCGCGCTTCTACGGGACGCCCCATGAGTGCGAGAGAGACCGCGACGAAGCTTCTCTTCGGGACGAGTCTGCTGGCCGCACCCCGCGCCCTTTCGGAGCCTCTCTCCCCCGCCACTCCGTCCTCGTTCCTCGTTCTCCCCCACGGCGGCCGCCGGACGCCTGCGGGACGCGGGGTAGGCAGCCCGCCGCGCGGGCGAGTGTGGCAGGCTGGCGGCGAGTATCGGCAGGCGCTTGCTCGCGCTGGCTTGCTCCGACTCCGAGCGCGATAAGGCCTGGATGCGGCCGCCGCGGCGGCCCGGGCCGTGTATGCGGTATTCGCACGACGTGCGCAGTCCCCGCGGCTGTCGTCCTCCAGCGGCCCTTCGGGCCTTCGGGCCTTCGGGCCCTTCCCCGCAGAAAGCGAAGCAAGCGAAGAAGGGCAGGGCCGAGGGAAGGGCCCGCCTGTACGCTGCCTGTCGGCTGATAGATCGGCTGGGTCGGATCGTCGGATCATTGGATCGGAGCAGTGACTGTGCATGCCTAGCGTTAGCCCAGCGTTAGCTCGGCCCCAAGGTCAGCGAGTCGGCGCACCGCCGCCGCGCACCGCCACGCCGCGCACCGCCACGCCGCGCCTCTCACAAGCCCAGCCAACAACTCCGCGCACTCCGCGCGCTAGGTCGCTATCGGATACATACCCACAGCCGTAGGAACGAACACACACACATGCGCACACGCGCACATGCACACGCACGCACGGCCAGAGAAACGACCTCAGATCATAAAACGTACAGAAATCTATTTAATGTGGAACTGGAGCGGGCACTCACTGACACACTCGCGGACACTCGCTGACACACTCATAGGCCCGCGCCAAGGGCGGCAGGCTCGGTGGCAGGGCGAAAGGGAGTAGGCCGGGGAAGGAGCAGCCTAGGCTACACTAGGCAACCCGCCGGGAGGCCGTGCCGGGCCGTGCATTGCTGTCTCCAGCGCCGTGCCGTGACCGGCCAGGACGCTGGCTGTGGCTACGCCCATGCCGGCCATGCCGACGGCTGCTCCGCCCATGGCGGAGTGCAAGTGCCGATCCTGGACGACGGACGGCGCCCTGCTGCGCGTCGACTTGTTTGTTGGTGCGGGCGGACCGGCGGGCGTATCGGCGGGCGTGCCGCGGCCTGCCGACGCAGGAGAACTTCCCGGAACCTGTGGCACCGGGGCTGGTGCGACTCGGTGCGACTCCACGCCGACGCCACGCCGACGCCACGCCGGCCGCGCCACTGGGGCATCCCGGCATCCCATCCCATGAGTTTAGTGCCCGCGGCCCGCGGCCGTCGTGCAGTACACGGCAAAGATTGTCCAGGAGGTGTCGCCGCCGCCGCCGACGGCGAGCTCGCCGTCGTCCGGAAACTTCCCGCGAGGAAATTAATGAACCGCGCCGCCTACACGGCAAAAATAAAAGCGAGAGCACGCGGCTGCCTTAACGCCGCGACCGGCAAACACTACACTGTGTCACCGCGGCGCGGCGCGCTAGCGCTCCTCGCGGCGACAATCCGAGGCTAATTGCTAAAACAAACGCGGCCAGCGTGGCGGCGAGGCGGCCGGCCCAAAAGCACACGCTGGCCGGGCTGGCCACAGCTAGGCCACAGCAGCCAGGAGTCCCAGGCTCCCACCCACACAGCCGCGTTGGGCCGCGTTGGGCTGCGTGCACGTGGTCCAATCGGACGCCAACGCGATGCGACGCGAAGGGAACAGGAACAGATCAATGATGAGCTGCTTCGACTTTATCAGAGCAGATTATTCGCGCGTCGCTGGGAGGCGGGAATTCCCAGGGCCGGGCCGGGCCGGCCTCACTCCGCCTCGCTCAACCGCTAGCGCGAAAACACGAAACACGGCCAACATAGGCTGCCGCGCTGCCGCTGTCGCCGTGAGCGGCTGAGCCGCAAGCTGCTGTGCTGCTTCTGTTGATGCTGGTCGCCCTGGTCGCCGCCGCGGCGGTTGAGCCAGCCAAGCCAGCCAAGCCAGCCCAACCACCAATCATGGAGCTTGCTATGCCGGCAAACGCGCTGCGGGGGAGGGGGCGTGGAGGGCAGGGAGGGTGGGGGGGGGGGCTTGGAGGTTAGAAAGAAAGGAGGACGGCTAGGAGAAAGGGAGGGGCAGAGGAAAACAAACACACCGGTTGATCACAGACGACGTGCACCGCGGCGATGCGCGATGCAGTCCCTCCGTCAAGCCGAGACGGAGCGGCAGCGCTGCAGGCAGCATCAGGGACTACAAGGCTTGCTACAAGGCGCCGCCCTGGAGCGTCCTCAAAGTCCTGAACGGCACCCAGTAGTCCCGCGTGTAACTGTTCCGAACGACGACTCCACCAAGAGTGAGGAATGATGACACAAAGGACCGAGCAGCTGCTATTTTATCGGTGGGACCAACCGAGCCCCACCATGCACCCACACACACACATGCATACACACAGCGCGCGCGCTACGTGCCCACACTGTATGAGCTGTCACAGTGACAGAAGCCAAGCGACAACAGCCATTTGGTCTTGATTTTAATGCGAACATAGGAAACTAAGTAGATCACGCACATGGAGTCAAAGCAGGGTTCGATTGATTTTGTCTTGTTTTTTGTCTTCTCGGTTGGGTCCGCATCAACGTGACACACTGAAAACTCTGCGAGGCCCTTCCCCCTCGCGGTTCACCGTAATTTGGCTCTCGAATCGTCCGGCACTTATTCGTCGCCATCCGGCCGGACTGTGCACGGAACCGTTTCGTGTATTTTATTTTTTTCACTCCCAGCCAGCGTCCGTCTGTCCGTCCGTCGTCCTGTTGCGGCTGTGCTTTCGTCCCTGCCGCTGCCACGCGATGACCGTTGCCGTCTATGTGTTTCACTCAGTCCGTCTATCGGTCTGTCCGCCTGTCCGGGCGAGCAGACGGGCTGACAGGTGCAGGGAACGACAATGACAGTTCATGTGCACTGTGCCTTCCCTCCAGCTCCCTTCAGCGAGCCCTTTGCCCGCTCTCCAGCAGGGCTCTGCCTCGGCCTCAGCCCCAGACGAGGACGAGGTCCGACTGCTTTGCCCTATTGCTGGGCCGCCCAGCCTGGGCAGCAGCCTCCTCATGAGACCTCAATGGAATCTGACCGAAGCGGGATCTCATCTCAGCTGTCTCTCTCGCTCAGCTGCTAAGCCCCCAGCGAGAACCGCCTACCGCGGAGCGCGGCTCGGCTTTGGCTCGGCTCGACTCGGCTCGGTCGGGGCCTATGTGTCCTGCGAGCAACGTGTTGGCCGTACGCCGTTTGCAGCCGCGCTAGCACTCAGACTCACCCAAGACTGCCTGCAGGTCATCCCCTAGAACCTCCATGGCCGGCCGCAGCACAGGTTCAAGCCATTTTCACCTCGGAACCAGAACGGGCTTTCTTGCGGCCGTCTTCCCGTTCTCGTAGGACAGCATAGGACCAGCAAGGCAAAGGCCCGAAGCCGCGAAGCCGCGAAGCCGCGAAGCCGCGCCGTGTTCGGCTGTCCCGCACTGCTCTGCTCCACGGCGCCGTGGCGAAGCGAGCGAAGCGAGATGCCCTGCCCGGCTCGGCTGTGCTTCCGAATCCGACTACCTTCTCGCAGTCTCGCAGTCAACAGACCACTTGTCGCACGTCAGGACTTTAGTCACGTGATCCAGGCTCGGGCCGCCGCTGCCGCCGCCACCGCCACGCCGCCGCCGCGCTGTGCAGGGCCGGAGGGGCCTGAGGCCGTGCAGCTGCAGTGGTGGCGGTTCGATTCCGCCGCCCGTTCCACGGAGCGACGGTGGCGCTCTCTGCGGCCTCCAGCGCCGCGCGCCGCGCGAAAACAAGTGAATTTGAACGGAGCTGGGAATCGCACTAGGGCAACATTGCGCGTGATTTTCGGAATAACTCAATTTTCTCCTCGTGGAAAATGAATTTTGTACTGCTTTAAGGTGGCCATTGGGGAGGGATTCCATTGGTGGCTGTCGTTTTTGTGTTTTCTGTTTGTTATGTAGAATTTCTCAGTGTTTGGCCCCTTGGTTGTCATAGCAACCAGATTCCTTAGCGGAGCATTCAACCTACTGCTGCTTTACCAGTTACAGCAGCAATAAAAGTATGTTATTTCAGATCCGCAATTTTCTTTTTGTGTCTAGATTTCTGAACTCCAAGGTTGCATGTGTTGACATTCTATTTTTTGAATTGATCATTGTAATTTAGATGTGAGATTCCGAACCGAGGGAATGACAGTTTGGGTACAAGGTTATGTCAGCCAGTTGGCAGTTTTGAAAAAAAAATTGAAATTTCAATTCAACACAGTTGTTTGAAGCTTAGGTTTGAAAAAAAAATACAACATGGAATTTTGTGTTTTGCCGTTACCTTTACTTTTATTTTTCACAGATGCCTGACTCTACAACAGATGATGTATACAGTGCTCCTCAGATCAACATTCCCCCTACTTTTCCGTTCATACTGAAACAGTATGCCAAAGCAGCCATTCGAACTCAGCCGTATGATCTATTGCGATGGTCTGCTGCTTACTTCAGAGCTCTGGCCAAAGGAGAAGAACCACCAATAAAAGATCGGTTGGAGTATCCTCCTCCAGACACTCCGTCTGGTCTTTCACCAGGATATTTAAAAGTCTTGATTAAACAGGTGCCACTTCATGATTGATTCATTTACAAAAAAAAATTTCTGTGTGTGTGTGTGTGTGTGTGTAATGGCTTTTGTAAAATATTTTTTCCAGATTGGGAAAGGAGGAACGGTGACAGTGAATGAACTTGTGGAGCGGTGGAACGGAATTTGTCTTGCTGAGGAGCCACTACAGGAAATGCTTGCTGTTGGCCAGTTTGGTGAAACCTTTGACTGGCTACACTTTGTAGCTGTAGCTGCAGGGTTCCTGTCTAATGTATGTGCCTTGCGGAAAAAAATCTGTCTATTCAGACTTTATTCAATGTAATGCAAATTTGCTTTTTTACTTCCAGAATTTGACACAAACAATGGTTTTGCTGTGTAATTTGCTGACAGATGAGCCTGATGGTGGCTCAGCTATGATTCCTCTTCATACATTTGCAAATTTGTATACATTCTTAGCATCTCTTGACTGTGGGGGAGGCGAAGATCCTGAAGATGAGGATGAGAGCCATCATGAATATGTCTTAACGGAAGGTACTTCTTCACCGTAATTTTAGGCAAGAGCACCAATTTCCCCAAAACCCGATACATCCTTCTTGACAGGACAGAGAGATGATGCCAGTTTATTCTCTCAAGATTCAGCCTCTTTGAGAAGAGAAAGTGTTGAATCATGTCCAACAGACCCTTCTATTTATCAAGTGGACTGGGAGTCTCAAAGTGCACATCAGTTGTTTGTTGAAATGCACTGTCCTTTCCCAAGTCCTCCAACATCACGCCCTTGCACTCCATTTATTGATATGGGAAATGCTAGCACAACTACTCTTACCTCACAAAATCAGCAATGTATCTCCAAGGAACAAGGTTGCACTGAAATAACTATTTTTTTTATTTGTCCTTTTCTTGTGTTCTTGTTTCCTTGCTCATTTTTTCTTGTTCACAGAAAATAAGGAGGCACACCCAGAAGCTCGCCTTGAGACCTTTTATGATGCAAAACCAAAGGGAAGTCATCACTCCAGTCAAGAATTGACTGAAAAGGGCAAGATAGCCACAGATATGCAAGAGCCCCAGCCTGATCCTCAAAATAATGAAAAGAGAAGCATCAGCCTGATAGAGCAGAGCACCGTGAATGAACCAAAGATAAAGAGTAGTGCATCGGTTCCAAGCTCAGCTCTCACTACAACAATGAAACAGACGAGCAGTGGTCGAGGTGACTCGGCCCAAGTACCCACTTCGATCAGAAAGAGAAGTTCAGATGGAGTTCGGAACAAACGACATATTCCTGGAATAGGAGCTCTGGTTGATGCTATTCAAATTCAAGCAGTCATAAACTACCTTGAAGGTATTTATAGCAACTTTTTCCAAATACTTCTGTTCAAAACAAAATTAACCTGAAAATTTTTCATTCCTTTTCTGTAGGCGTAGCTTTGAAACAAGATGGCATGATAAAGCCAAGCAACATTCGACACTTTCTATGTCCTCCTCTGGAAAAGGTTCCAGCATCACAAAAGACCAGAGTCTGATCAGAAAGACAACTTGAGCAATGTGCTCTCTTACACCACAGCTGGTATCTTGTAAAAGGAGCTTGCAGAAAGTAGTTGCCATAGAAGGCTGATATTCATTTTATGGAAAGACTAAAAGCATATTCTTAACTCACAACACCCTTTGACTAAGGTACATAAATCTACTTTGTACCACCTTTCCATTGCTCACAGTACCTGCTACTTTGCACTTTGTGATATCTTTTGTAACTGATGTTACCAAAAATAATTTATCTCTTCCAAAGAGCTAACAGTTTCTTGCTTGTCCTTGCTGTTACATGTAGCCTTAGTATTTGCTCAATTAGCAAAAGAAAGATTTTATTTCTTGTTCTGTAATGAATAAAGAATTCTGCAGCACTGATATTCCTCAGGCCTCTTAACACGTTTTATTTAAAAAAACTATTTATATAAATATTTATTGTATTAGACAAAAGGTTAGGAAAATAAAAAGTAAATACATGTTGGTAAATTTGCTTTATTTCCTTGGTTGACTATATCATCAGCTTGTTAAGCTTCACACCCAAATCATCAAATACAACTTCATCAAATAAAATAATCTGAAAAATCAGCAACAAAACAGCACTTTACTTTTCTTCACACAAACATTTTGTTTTTTTGCAACAAGAAATTCAAAATTTCAGGACAGCACTTGCGTAAGAAACAACTTGTTTTCAGGATTGACATTTTCTTACACTTCGTTCTTTGCACTTATTGCCACACACTTGAGCACAACCATGAACAGAGCTAGCTGATGATGAATCGAACCAATGTCTTTTCCATTCTCACAATAGTGGAAGTTCAGTGCCAATGAAGAAAAAGAGCTTGGTAGATTATACTACTTTGAGAGGATGGAATAATTACAGCCAGAAACCTAGAGACAAAAATGCTTATACAAATAAAAATGGTTAAAATCTTGAATTAGGAAGACAATAAACAATCTTGTTTGAGTTCCAACTGTGTAACATTTTATCAAAGGAGGGAAAGAACTGAGCTATCAAACTTTTGTACTCCATAAATGCCGTAAAATGCAGAACCCCTGATGAGCAACAATGCTTCATAAATCTTTATTTGGACTCCATTCATAGTTGACCCACATGACAAAATGAGAACACTAAGTTTACTTACATACTTAATTATAAATCAGGGAAAATAAAAGCATGTCACACCTAGAAAATAATATCAACTATAAACCATTAATATTTTAAGACAATTTAAGCGTATCCAATACAGAACCAATGAAAAATTCATATTATACAAAATATAGGGACTTTAATTGGGAACACTGGCGGACTCAATTACACACTTTTAAGTACTGATTGTGAGTGGAAACATTGTATCTAAAAGGAACAAAGCAGAATCAAATATAAAGAGATGATTTCCATGTTTCTTTAAAATGTTGGCACCCAATGTTCTATGTGAGACACAGCACACCACAAACATTCATCTTTAAGAGATACTGTCATCTGATCGGTATTGTTCTAGCACAGCAGTTCTTCTACATCTAGGTAAGCCCATTCAGAAAAATAACATTCTTCTGGTATGTTTAGATGATATGTTCAACATACTGCTTGACAAAAAGGTATAATAGTGCTCTCTATTATGTAAAGATTCTATAAGCAAATTCATAATTATGAAATGTTCAGGCACACAAAGTATCAGATTTCATCATTTCAAGAAGACTTGGGCTCAGGGCCAGGGCTATAAAGCAATTTGCTGCTCATTGTATACCTGGAAGTGTTTCTATATTTGGCGATGGCAGCACATTGCTTCTTGTGAAACATTCATAAGCACTGATCTGAGAGCAAAAGTAAGTGATAAATTAAAAATGGGTTAAAATCACATCAGGCACCAACATTATAATTTTGAACATGGACAGAAGAATTTTCTTAAAAAGAGTACAGGAAGCTGCAGGCAAGGGAAGGTCCCATTGTAGACGAAAAATTTGTTCTTTAGTTAACTGCCTACTTGCTAAGCATGACAACAGGTACATTCATTGAGTAAAAATAACACTATTTAGCCAAGCACACTAAGCTCAAAGGAAATGTCAAAGGGCATCAAAGCGGCATAATTATGCAATAATAGCCACTACAACAACAAAACAAAGAAAACTGTTTCACTGTATCTTAGCAAACTACAAGTAACATCAACAATAGTTACAGGGTAAACAGGAAGGTAAAATTACCAACTCCAGCACTCATATGATCTCAAATCTACTTTAAACCCTTGGCTTAGGGCGAGGCAAAATCTGTTGTCAAAGCAAAACCTATCCCCATCCAAAAATATAAAAGAAGATTCACCAGTTAGTGAACCGAACGCTGAACTGGAAAATGTGATTCCCCTCATCACATTGCACAACATAATTTTACTTCAGAAACTATGTGTATTGGTCACATGTGTGACAATTACCCAGAATAAAGGCTAACAGAAAAAAATGCTTAATAAGGAAAAGTCCACCACATAAAACAATATTAAATGCAACAACAAACTGGCCGAAAAGAACGGCTGACATATATCCATACACAAGCAAGGAGAATGCATTTTTCACCAAACAAGGATAGTACATCAAGATATAAAAGATAAAAGCCGACAAACATACAATCATAAGTCTCCAGTTTAACAAGCAGAAAAGCACCACATCAGATTCATGGCAAGAAAAGCCCTCCAAATGTGTTGATATCATTTATATCATTTAATTATGCCACAAATAGAAGTATATACAAATTAAATCTGTAACATTCAATATCTCTCTATTTACAAAGTAAAAAATAACACTACATTTATCTCTTCCTACAAATACATATTTATGTACAGAAATTTAATATCCAGTTTGATTGTTTGCTATGATACAAAGGTCATGTTTGACAGAAGAGATGACAACCAGAAAATTCTTGAAGGGTATTGTCAAACTGTCTGCTGACACACAAACTTAAAAAGTGGTCTATATTGTTAATCAAGATTTGCACAATTATACACAAGATTGTACACACTCTGGTCCAAAGTAACAATTTTCAGTAAGAAAACTGACAATGTTCACAAAAGCCACACAGTGTGCTAGGCAAGATGTACTCTGCATGACCCTGTGAAGCAGGATTCAAAAATATGTGCATTACACACTTCTCAATTTTTTCTAAAAAAGAAAAGAAAATGATTATTTTTATAGAATCAATTTAGGCACCATGAAATTGCAGAAAGCACAGGGTGCAGCATTTGTGTCCAAGAAAATCACAGACTAAGTCAGAATGGGCTAGGAATGAGGCTGAAATGGAAAACATTCTGTCTGCTCATGATACAACCATGACACTTGTTCACTTGTTCGTGACAGGAATACAGTAAACCGATGTCAATTTCAAAAAATAGCCTATATCACATAATGCAGAAATAACATGCTGTAGTTACCTCACATTTGGATACCCATTAAATGCCAGACAGTTTTTAATTTCAATGAATGATCAGAGAGCAAACTTACGCCTTAATTCACAGATTTAAGTAATTATAGATTTAAAGAAATGAGTTTAAAAGTGGCACAGTCCTGGTATCAATCTCTAATGAAACATGACCATCCCCTATCATACAAGTTTTTGATAAAACATGTTTGTACTATGAGAAAAACAAAGATGACATGGCAGGTCATAAACAAAATGAAGTATGCAGAACAACACAACGACAACAGTACATGATAAACAGAATCAATGCCCAAATTAACAAACAAGTTAGGGTTAACAGATCAAGTTTGGTATTTTAATAGCACCAGAAAAGAGAAGAATAAAAATGTTGACCTGCCACTCATCAAATGACATGGCTTCTGAAACATTCACAGTCTAGAGGGTTGTAGAGAACCAAAAACACCACAAGTTAAAAGAAACAAAGACAGTGGAATAACTCACAACACAGATATGATAAATGAGGTATTTCTTGACAAAAATCAAGGGTATCAGGTTAATTACATCTGTTTTTCTTGTGCGATCACATTAGATTTTGAAAATGAATAAAATATAAAACCTAGTTGATGGAAAAAGTTAACTGATTTAAAAGAATAAATAAACTTAAGCTTGCATCAGATAATAGGGAATGTGAACATGATCTGTGCGCAGTCTCCTCAAGGAGAAACAGAAGTTGATCCCTCATGTAAAAGTCAGAAATCAAACTGTCCTAGGAGAATGGTTACAACACCAATAAATTCTTTGATTCAATTGCATTCACAGGTAATAACACTGAGTTTCACAAGAAATAATATCACTCACTCCTAGTTAACAAAAATTAACAATTGTCAAGCAGAAGCAAAACCTGTATCTTTGTTAGTTTTTATGTAGTTTTAAAAACACTTTCCATTATGAATGAATGAAAAAGCACAATATCCTTTCTACTTTCAACACAGAAGGCACAAAACAAGAAAGGTACACTAACAGGAAAGATCAGCGTTCAAGATGCTCTAGAGGCACAAGAAACAACTTTGCCAGACTCTTCAAATACCTATGACAAGCCACAGTGTCACAAAGTTCACACAGTGCTAAAATGAATGTTAAATGCAGAAAACCCAAAAGTTACAAATCCAATTGAAAGAAATTAGAAGACATTATTGTTAAAGTCCATTATTGTTGAAGATTTAAAAATGGCATCCCATAGATAATTAAGTATAAACAGAAAAGAAAAATCTTAACTTGATTCCCTTGAGTAACATAACAATTGGCTAATCTAAATGAGCATCACTAGATCTCCAAGGATCTGCGAATATTTCAGCAGCAGGACTCTGCTAAGAATGCATTTGAAAACCGAATGGGACCAGGTCTACAAGTTACGTTATTGTCATCTACTTGACATTGACAGCAACAGCAAATTTGTTCTCAACTCATATTTATTAACACTTGTGGCAGGTAATCTAGCGAACACATTAAGCACAACCCCCAACCCCTAATTAAATTATTCTTTTAAGAATGAATTCGCCAACATCATTGCCTAGCAAATTTCCGCAACTCCCATACATTTTTACAATAGATTACAGTTTAAAATAATCTGTGTTACAAAATTTTAACAAAGTCACACATGAAAACCTGAGTTGAGAGCAGTACTTACTGAAGCTATCAGAAATCACACATTTTAGCATAAGATTATAGATAACCTAAACACATTCATGCTGACAAATAAAATATTTCACAATAAATCACATTCTAATTCATACTTCCTCATGAGATTATAAAAGGTAAAAATCTGTAATTCATCACACCATTTGCATCAGTTCTACAAGACCATAGCTGCCATGTGTTATCTTAACACACGCATTACTAACATCAAAATTATATCACCTTCATACATGGCAAGGGGAAGCAAAATGCTTCAACAATAAATAATTTACACCCTATCCACAACACAGATTTCTCACTTCCAGTCTATCTATGGGAATAAAAGCAGGCACACTATGTACTGTAAAAATCTTTGAACTGTGGCATTTCCTCCATACCGAATCTGTCACAATTTTCACGCAGTAAGAACATACATAGATGTGTGCAGATAAGCAGTATAGAGGAAACGAAACACATTATCAGAAACCAAAATATTAGATATTGAATTCAAATTGAAAGAAGTTCCGTGTAATATCAAGAGCACTCGATCAAAGCAAAGATGACACAATACACCGATGAACAATTAGCAGACTGCACGATTTGTAATATTTCATGATATGAGAAAGTCATAAATAAGGTATTCATTCATGAAACCCAACTTTAAAAAATTATAAACAAGTGATACAAAAACTATTGATTTCAAATAAATAACTTTTTAAATAGAAAGAATACTCTTATCACAAAGCAGGGATGTCTAAAATTACTTCTTAGCACTACAGTAACCTCACTTCAAAGATTATTGTAAAAACAGAAACAGGAAACATTACAGTTAGTGCAGCTGAGAACTTGCACCTTGATCTTGAGGTCTGAACCCGGGAGGTGTTTAATACCTGCTGGTCCAATAACTTTTGTTGTTTGAATTCAAAACATTCCCAAATTTCATACAAACATATTTGGCTGCACTAGCACCTCAAAAAATACTGAGGGGATTTGTCCATTAATTTCAAAGTTTTAGAACCAACCAGATCACTACCTTGTGCTAAGCATCTCTCTGCTGGGTTACTGAGTACATTGGCATATGGCACTAACAGTTCTCATGAAGATTTGCTTAAGGTTCTTTCAAAGTCCTCTCCGGAGCGATTTGGTAATGTCTTTTCAAATTCACTCAATGCTCTATGAATAAATTCATACTGCTCGGCTGTCTGAACCATTCCTCCCCTGAAAGCCAAAAAGGTGAAACATTAGAATCAATGAACAGTAACTATTCACAAGCATAGTGTAACTAGTTTTGAGTCATACCGGTCATGTCGGAGTCTGCACACAATGCCTAGCACATCAACATTGTTCTCTTCGGCCAGCTGAATGGTCCCTATAGCGACAGCAAGGAAACAACCTGTGCGACCTATTCCAGCACTGCAATGAACAACGACTGGAGCTTTACGTGGAACATTGTCACCATACTGTTTTCGCAGTTGGGACAATGATTTTTGACGGAAGGCTTCTACTTCACGAACTAGTTCTACAATACTTTTGGCAGTATCAGGAGTTTTATGATCTGGCCATGTGTCATACCAGTAGTGCTGGATAATACGAGTTTCATCACCTCTCTGCACAGATAAGGTAAGATTAGATGAAAAATGGACACATGAAGCTGGAGCAGAGACAGAGGCAGAAACACAGGCTTACCTGCACTCTTAACTCCCTTACAACATAGCCATCTCTGGGTGAGACTTTTTCTACAGTTACAGTGACTTCACCATACTTTTCTGTGGAGCCGGGACCCCCAAGCGACTGAGCCATTGATGGAGAGTCTGGAGGTGAGTCCCCATCATCTTGAGGATTCATAGGGATGTATGGCTCACATTTACACTTGCAAGTTTCAACAAATCTTGTTATCATCACTATCACTGGAACTCCTTCACCCCAAACCATCAGCCAAAAGTCTGCAATAGTATTTGGCAAAGGTCCTTGGGTTGCAATATAGGCTTTGTCTTCACCATCGTAACCCTGTTTTCAAAGAAATTACGAAAATTAGTTGACAGCTTTATTTATGAGACAACACAAATCATATAAACACTTACCCGTATATAGTTAGCGTTTATATAACATGCTAATTGATCCTCTGCAGACCCAGGGGCCATTCCTAAACATGGGGGGGAAATTTGAACACGAGTCCGTTCATTTGGGAGAATACTTTTATACCTATTCTTAAAACCTGCTCCAGCAACACCCAAATGTTCTCTATAGTTTGAGGGAATCTCCCAAAACTCTCTATGGAGAGCATTAACATCTTCAAGGCACTTTCGTAATTGCTGACGACTCAGCATGTTGCCGGCAGATAGAAGGTACTCATCAGTGGTGCTGGAATTAAAAATAATATTTTTGTAATAAATATATATTGTAGAATTTATAACTTGCATAGGCATAGGGTATGGAGTGTGGGGCTCAAGTTGTATAAATTTAACGGGAACTTACCATTCCCGCGTAGGCCCGCACAGAGTAGAGATATTCTCCTGGCTTGGGTGAAGGTCAATGGTAAGGGAAGCACTGGACCCACGTCTCTCTAATAGACCTTTGGCTTTAATACGAATGGGTTCTGGCCGAACTTCAGATGCAAATCGAGTTCCACCTCCAGCTGTGGAGGTGCTTGGGCCAGCAACCACCGCACTTTGCCGCAGTGCCTCTGGCAACTGTGCTTCAGCTGTAAATCAATTCAAATTTAATAGAATCACAGATGGCATTATACAAGCGCCAAAAGCTGCAAAGACACAAATGCCAAACTGACCAACACAGGTCTCCTGCACTGCTGTTGAAGTTGCCTGAAGCTTCCAACAGTGGCTGGAAACTTCCTCAGAAACAACAGCCGCGACTGTTGTGTTTGATGTCTGAGACACAATTTTATCCTGATCTTCTGTCATTGACTCAGGTTCCTCACAGTCCTTTTTCTTTGAGAGCAACATTTGGCTTTTGAACCATAGAAGCATCTGTTTTTTGTTATTTTTTTATTTTATTGTTGAAAAAAAAAAACAACATTCTTTAGTAAAATATGGGAATTTTGTAAAAGAAAAACACTTGAAGAGATACTGACCACAAAACCCACAGCAATGGCAGCGAGGGAGAAGAAAATCGGATGCTGCCACTCTGGCCAGCCAGGGTGCTTGAGTGCAGACTTTTCACTCCATATGACATTCTCTGCAGGGGGGCTTGAACCGTTTTCTTTGGACAGTTCAGAGTCTGGTCCTGACCTGCGGGCTGTTGCCATTGTTTTTTGGCCGGCAGCGCCTTTTCCTGGCCCGTTCTCCATGCTAATTTCTGACAAAAGTACGCACTGTTAAACTTCTACACTCTTTTCACAATTCCTTTATCAACTTAAAACAACCTTCAGTTACCTTCATACGTGTCATGGACTCTGGAGGTGTTCCAATGATACTTTCAAAAACAAAGAAAGACAACCACCTAATTGAGCAAATATTGTTTCCTGCAAACCAGAGTTTCTGTCCTCAAGGCCATCACTCTAGACAGTGGTGGTAGTTTTTCACAGCAAATCTGCTTCATTGATTACATGTCAATGTCCAGCATCCTGTAAACAAAAATCAAACATTAAATTAAAATATATACAATAGATACAAACAGATGAACGTTTTAGTACAAAAGGGCACCAAAAGAACAAGCAAATAAAGTACACATAAAATCTACCAGAAATCTTCAAGGAGTTTTTGGTTAGAAATGCCAAGTGAAATAACAAGAAAACACTTGAATTTCCAGAGTCAAGGACAAACATTATAAAAATAATAAAAAATTCACAAAAATAAAATCAAAGCCCTGAGGAACCAATAAATAGGAAACCCTGTCACTTGAGTATTTATCAAGGAACTTCGCGACCACTTTAGAAGACAACTACGTGTACTTCCGAGTGTATCGCATTAGAAACATCAACAATCAAGTTAGAAGGATGCAGCCTGTCAAAGGCATACTTCGGCGCCCTGCCCGAGGAGAGCCGAGAGGCTGTTGTCACATCTGTGAACGTGACAGACAAGGTCACAACTCCAAACTTCTAACCAACTTACGGCTCGAACTGCCATCCCGTCGCCGCTCCAACAACCAACACCGCCCTAGAGCCCTGTTCCCAAATCGACAAGAAGCACAGAGACGCGCAGCCACACGGGGAGCGAGCGTGCTTTTCCGGGCATGTCCGGGAGGACTTGTGAAATCAGCTGCGATCCATTCACCTCCACACGCCAGACAGATTTCGATTTCGCCGTTCGTCTCCTCAACGCAACAAATACAGGCCGTCCCGTCTCTGTGAATGTTCCACGGCCGACGACATCTTGAATGGTGGCCATTCAAGACGCCAACCGAACGAACCGTCAGTGTTATTGGTTTTGCGTCAGTTTCGGACGCGACGCACCAACTAAAGGTCACGCCCTCCAGCTCCAGGCCCACAATTGAAAGAGTTGGATTACAGTAAGGCGAGGCGGCCTCTTTTGGGTTCGACGCTCAGGACGGAATAACGGCAAGCGGTTCCGCGCCGCGAGGTTGGCAGCGTAAATGCCCCGCCCGCCGCGCCCCGCTCTGGCCGCAGCTGCAGCTGGCTGCCTGGCTGCGTCGTACTTCCCCCTTTCTCTGCCCCTGCGCGGGGCGGGCAGAGGCGGGCAGGGGCGGGGCTGGCGGGGCGCGGGGCGCAGGGCCATGGCGGGGCGCGGAGCCCCCCCGAGTCGAGTCGCCGTCGAGTGAATGGAGGCCTGCAGTGGGTGGAGCAGAGTCACAGCCCCACGACCCTCCCCAGCCGCGCCGCACGCCGCACTGTTTTGGGACCTAACTCTCGGACCAACTCGAAATGGCAAAGGAACCCTGATTCAACCTTGCGATTGCTACCGTTAGGAAGCCCTGCCACGTGCTCACCACCCCCCCCCCCCCCCGTCACCCCTAAGGGCGTGTTGCCTGGCTCACCCTCTTCCCTCCCTGGCTGGGCTGCGACCGACTCATTTTGCTGACACTAGGGTTATGGGTCGCGGCCAAGGTGGCTGTGGCGCGCCACCGCGGTGGAGCTAGGCCCTGCCGCACGACGCCCCACGCAGCGGGCGTAGCGCGTATACCGTGTAGCGGACATGACGGCGCGTCGGCGCCACGTAAAGGCCAGAAAACTGAGCAACGGAGGCGACGTCGCTTCTGGGGCTTCTGGGCCCGTTCCGTTTCGCCAGGCAGGAAAGACACAAATAGCTGCCATGCTGGTGGTGGCCGCCCTCGGGGGGCAGGCAGGGAGGCAGGCAGACGGTAGCGGGCGGCGGCCACGCTCGGGGGAAGTGCCAGGCTGACACCGTGTTCCGTCGTCCCGACGTCCCGCCCCGCGCAAAGCATGCAAGTACACCTCGCCGGTGTAAGAGCAAACACACCCAGTGTGGTGGCGAGCCAGCCGAGGCCAGCCCTGTTCCTGCGTGGCCGGGCCCACTGGGCAGCCACTTCCTTTGATGCTTCCCGCTGATTACCCACGACACGTGCCGTCCCGTCCACGACATAAACAACAACAAAAACCTTGCAATCAGTCTGATTTGAAAAAGCAGACCCTCATCGTTTTTTTTTCCGCGGCTTTGTCGCGAACGGAGCGTCGTAAGTGGCAATGAGGCCAACAGGTTGGTTAGGCGAGCGGGCCCGGCCGTCTGGCCGAGTGTGCTTTACCGCTTAGTCATCAATGCCGGCGCTCGCCACGCCACGCCACGCCGCGGGCAGACACGCGAGGTGACAAACCTTGCCGGCGATGTTAAATGTTTATCGAGCGAGTGCTGTGCGCTGTGGGTCGGTCGCCCCTTTCCTGACATTAGTCAAGCGACGTTCTGCGCCTTGGCCGCCTTGGCTCGCCGCATCCAGTGCCACTGCGATAGAGGCTGCCTGCCGTCCGTCCGAGCCGCCGTCCCTGCTTCCCACAATACCGGAACTACTGTGTTATTAACCGTCTCGCCCGTCCTGCCCCCCCTCTCCGCCCACACACTTCCCTCATCCGCGCCGCCCGCATCCGCCCCCCTCCCCCCGCCTTTCCCCCCTGTCCGTCCGCCGCTTCCTTCCTTTCCTACACTCGCTCTTTCCGTTTATTAGGCAAAGCCAACGGCCAGACCAACACAGAACAGGCAGACACCAAAGGCAAAGTCCTCCGTACCCAGAACAGACGAAGCCGGGCAAGCCAACAGCACGAGCAAGCACGAAAGGCAGAACAAGGCAAGCCGAGAGCAAGCACAGAGAACAGGAAACAGAGGCAAAGCACAGAGGCAAAGCACAGAGGCAAAGCACAGAGGCAAAGCACAGAGGCAAAGCACAGAGGCAAAGCACAGAGGCAAAGCAGCCGCCGACGGCACCGTGCCAGAGGCGAGCCAGACGGAACCCCCCGGCTAGCCTATCGGGGCGCGTCCCCCATTTGTGGATTTGTAGGCCAGTAGTTCGACCTGTGGAAATGCCGCATCGCTCGCCTCGCTCAGCAGAAAGAGAAGAAGGGGGCGGCGTGCCTTGTGCGCAGGGCAGGGCGGCCGCAGCTTGAACAGACTGTTTCCAAGAGTCGTTTTCGTCGCTCTGTCTCTCTCGCACTCGCGCGGCGTTCCGTACAGGTGCGAGAGAGACAGAGCGACGAAAGCGACTCTCGGTCTGCAGCGCCGAGCGCGAAGCGACGGGCGGGGAGGAGTGCCCGAGGCGCGTCGCGTCGCGTGGCCGCGGCATCAATGAGTGCCTCGCGAAGCTCGTGAATGGCGGTGCCGCGGCGGAGCGGCGGAGGCCGTGGCGGAGGCCCATTCGGAATTTGGCTCAGACGGATCGGGGAGGAAGGAGGGGGAGGGGAGGGGCAAGGTCGGGCGGCTTTCGGTTTAAAGTAAACTCGCGCGGGCTCATGGGGGTGGAGAGGGGGGGGGGCTCACCGCTTCGCGCGCGTCGCGAGAACACACGCGCGGTGTGTGTTTGTGTGTGCGTGTACACGCGGGCGCCAACGAGGGCAGTGAGTGGGTGGGTTCGAATCCCGCCGCCGCGTCACGTTTCTCTTTGATCGATGCAGATTTTTGAGTCGCGCTTTGCGGCCAACCAGGCCAACGCGCTCTCCCCCTGCTTGCGTCCCCCTTGTTGCCCGTCCGTACGCCCACCTCTCGGACTTCATTTGCAGGCAAGGATGTGGTCTACCCGAATCATGCACGATCCAAAAGATTACCCAATCGAAAGGAAATCCCAGGGTTAGGTGTTTAAGTCCCGCTCGTGGATGAGCCCAAGGCCAAGCCTGGGGAGGACAGAACTACGGCGAGAGTACCGACCGTGTGCACCTGAACTGGCGACTTGGCTCAACCTCGGTTCAACCGGTTTACCTGGTTGCCGTTGTTGACATTGTTGACGCGGGCTGGGCCGCTGGGCCGCTGGGCCGCTGGGCGTTACCCTTTCCCTTATCCCACCTGATTGCCACTATCAGCGCGGTGCGAGATAGGCTCTCTGTGTCATCGATAAGATAGCGCAATCGCAATCCCCCGACGAGCAGCAATCAGTAATTGCCGTATATTTTGCAACTCACACCCCTTGCATCAGGGCATGACTTTCGAGAATGCGCGGTGTTAGATAACGGCCGAGATGAGCCCAGGAGGAGGAAAAAACCAGGCGCGTGCCTTTGTCAACAATGTTTCGCAACTACGGCGGGGGTAGCTATCACCTTTCATCGCGTTTGCCCGCCTCAAACCTCCTCTTCATTGAGATGAGCTCCGCTAGAGGAGGACGAGAGTTTCCACGAGAGGGGTTTACAGCCCTGAGTAGAACTGACGCTCATTCTCGAAATTCTCGCAAACATGGAGAGAAGGCATTTTTAGAGTTTCAGAGACGACTAGGTGATTCTCCACTCGCCTTTACTGTCGACTGTCATGTTAGGCAATGTGCAGCAATGTCCAAACATGGCAGCGCGGAGTCCGAAATGGTAGCCTCCCAAGTTGGAGCTCAAGCTTCGGCTGTCCACTACGACCGTGTGCGGTGGGATGCATGCACGCTTATGAAAGCGAAGGGCAGAACTGAGTCACCTGGTACAAAAATAATGCGAAAATGAGAGAGGGCTGTGACTAAAAAAATATTAATTCTCTAGAAAACGAAGGCTGATGTACCCAGTGCACCCACCTACAGTGCCTGTTGCATTGAATAGATACGTGCCTGGCCAGTTTCCACGATCAAACCCTCACCAGCAACCACCATCTCCAACACAACACAAAGTCCTCGGCAAAGTCCTCAGCCGTGCACAACAGGCACAACACGTCTTGAGCACCACTGAAGGTTCGTTCAAAGACGGTCCCAAGATTATCTGTGATACGTGACACTTGAGCCTCGAGCGACAATGCTGTCAGATCCCGATCCACTTGCTGGTAATGTCACCCCCCGCCGAAAACGCGCATCGGCGTCATGCAGTCACACACGCGGTCCAAGCAGTCTGTTCCTCACCTGCCGAGTGCGTCGAGCAGCCAGCCGGGGGCTGCCTGAGGCGCTGGGGGCAGAAAGTGGTCTTATCGGCTGCATCTCGATCGAGACCTCGACAGCCCGATGCCTGGCCGACGCCTGGCCGACGCCTGGCCCAGGCCTGGCCGGCCGGGTGAGGCTCGGCCCGCTCAGCCCATGATGGCGGGTGCCAGGACGAGCGAGCGACACATCCACGCGCCGGACGACGACGACGACGACGACGCTAGCAGACGACGCCTGCAGATGATACTCGCAGACGACGCTAGCAAACCACGCTAGCCGGCGACGCTAGCGGGCGACGCTAGCGGGCGACGCTAGCAGACGACGCTAGCAGACGATGCTAGCAGACGACGCTAGCAGACGACGCTCGCAGACGACGCTCGCAGACGACGCTAGCAGACGACGCTCGCAGACGACAAGCGAGGGGCCAGGATCGCGGGGAGCGCGAGCGCGCGCTTGGCTCGAACGTGGCGCACAGCACAGCACCGCGTCGAGGCACCGCGTCGAGGCAGTGAGGGAGGCAGCGAGGGGGGCAGTGCGGACCCAGTCCAGTGGTGGTGATTCACAACAGCCACCCCCTCCCCTCCACGCAGCCGAGCGCGACCCGAACTTCCCCGAGCGGCAGGCCAGGATCTCGGTATGAATGAACTCGAAGCGTGTCGCTTCGTCCCTCTCGGACGCTGCTGCCGACGCCGTCCTCGTCGACGCGGTCGCTTCGGAGGCCACCCCACTGGCAGGCCCCCCTCCAGGCGCCAGGCTCCCAGGCCCAGCCCCTCCAGGCCGCACACAGTCAAAACATCTCCACCCTACAGCGGGGGGTGTAGGGTGGCGGCGGTGGCAGCGGTAGTAGCGGTGGCAGGGAAGGCCTCGAAAACGCGTTCCACGTGGCACAGGGCGCAGTGAGGATGGCAACGGTTCCACGTGGCGCAGGCCGCAGGCCCAGCAAGGGCACAGCGGCACAGCGAGGGTTCCCGC